TCACAGAAATACATTACAGTTTAACAGATATTCACATAGAAAACAGCTGTTTTAAATTCTAATAAGATTTCACATTTTTACTGTATTTTTGATTTTAAAAATGCAACCTTGGTTAGCAGAAGAGACTTCTTTCAGAAGCACAAATACAATTTTGCACAGCAAAGTGATTGCTGACTTTGATGGAATTCTAATAATATTTAACAATCTTTACTGTATTTTTGATTAAATAAATGCAGCCTTTGTGAGCAGCAGAGATGGAAACTTTTAATAAACAATAAACTCAATTAACTCTTAATAATAAACTCTTTCAGAAACAATAATGAACCAAAACTTTTGGATGGCAAAAAGATTGCAGACTTTGATGGAAACTGCATAAAAGATGTTATAAACACAAAACATCAGGTTGCAGAGGAACAAAAGCACACTGCAAAAAATCATTCTCTTGCTTAGTGTTTGTGTCTTGTGTTCTAGTATAAATATCTAAACATTCTTGAATCAAGATGCATTTACTGTACAAGTAAAATGACTAAAGTCTTTTGCTTGTTTTTGCTTAAAACAAGCAAAAATATCTGCCAATGGGGTAATAAAAATAATCTTAATTCAAAGGCTAAACAAGATGATTTTTCTTGCCCCGTTAGCAGATATTCTGAAATCTTTGCTTGCAATCATTTTTTGCAGTGCATATGCATAACTGATAATGTGACTGTGGGTGTGTGCTGCTGCTGATGTTTTGTTGTGGTCAGTCACTATCACAGCATGAATGAGCTCTGTCACTACGACCTGCTGGACTCCAGCACACAGCAGTGTGTTGCCGAGGGCCATAAAGCTAGCTTCTGTCTGGAAGACACGTCCTGTGACCCCGGATACTACCGCCGCTACGCTTGCACGTCTCACATGCAGGTGCGTAATTACCCAGCAATACAGACAAGAGCGAGCCAGTGCTTCACACAAACACACACTCACACACTCGTCCTCCAGCAGCACAAACCACTGAGAACGTGTGTGTGTGGCGTCTTGTAATGATTCTCTCCATCGCAGCCTGCAGTGTTGGGAAGGTTACTTTGGATACAGATTACAAGTTACCCTATTTAAAATGTAACAAGTAGTGTAACTATTTCAGTTACTTTAACGCTCTGGCCCTCTTCGTTTAGGAGTCACACTTGCCTTGACCGAAGCCTTGAAATGTAACTTTTAGTTTTTTTCATCAGGTAAATCAATGTAATATATTTTTGTTCAATAATTTTTTTTTGATTATCATTTATGATTTTGAGGGAATTTTATAATACTATGCAATATTTAGACAATTTTAATGAGCTATTTTCTCCATTAGAATAAAAAAAAATTCTTTATTTATTTACTGTTTTTAAATAAATGCAATATTTCACATTAAAATAGAGCGAAGGCATTTCAAATCCATTTTTTGAAGTGAGAATTGGGCCATCTGGAGGCATTAAAAAATGTAAACTTGTGTAATGTTGCGTAACCTCTTGTATTAGCACCCTATATATATACAGAGGCTTTTTTTTAGACATAATTTCTTCATTTTTTTAGGTTTTGCATTTAGATCTATATCTAGACATTATAAAAGACTACTTTTTGTCAAGGTTTAGATATTGTTGGTTAGATAAGTATCAGGTTTTACATTATGATTACAGTCAAACATTAAAATCTTGTTAGAAAGGGAACACATAGAAAGCATTTTTGTTACTCAGTATTTGATCATTAAAAAATCTAACAAAATAAGGAATGGATAGTGATGATTCAAAACACTTTATACAAAATATTGTAATTAATTGATATTTTATTCAATGTAATTAAAGTTAAATAAAGATTTAAAATCATAACGAGATGATACTGTTTTTGAAATCAAATCTTTGCATAGCTATGACAGGACAGTTCATCTTAAAAAAAAAACAAATAAAATAAAATAAAGCATATGCATAAACCCAAATAGGAAATAAAACAGTTACTGTATCTGAAACATTGGTGTCTCGTATTTTAGAGCAGTTGATGTAATTTATGAAAGAAATCAATTAAATCTGTATGTGTGTGAAAATATTCAGATGCAACCCCTTTTGTAATCGTTAACATTTTCATAAGTAACTAATTTAATTACACATTTTTTCTTAGTAGCTGTAACTGATTACAGTTACATTTATTTTGGGTAACACTTTATTTTAAGGTGTCCTTGTTACACATCTTACATGTACTTACTATTATAATAACAATAAATTATGCATAATTACATGCAAGTAACCCTAAACCGAACTCTAACCATATAGTAAGTACATGTAGTTAGTTATTACACAGTACTTACATGTATAATTACACTGTAACAAGCACACCTTAAAATAAAGCGTAACCTTATTTGTGACCCTGGAGCACAAAACCAGTCACAAGGGTCAATTTCTTTAAATTGAGATTTATGCATCAGCTGAAAGCTGAATAATAATCTTTCCATTGATGTATGGTTTGTTAGGATAGCACAATATTTGAAAATCTGGAATCTGAGGGTGCAAAAAAATCCAAATATTGAGAAAATCATCTTTAAAGTTGTTCAAATGAAGTTCTTAGCAATGCATATTACTAATCAAAAATTAAGTTTTGATATATTTACAGTAGGACATTTACTAAATATCTTCATGGAACATATTTCAAAGTGTTTTTTAAACATTCAAAACGTCCAGTATTACGAGCGTTTCTTCTCGGTTGTGTAAACATTAGTGAAACGTTCCATTGTAACATTTTAAAAACCTTGAGAACGTTACATTTGAATGTTTCTCTCAGTGTTCAAAACATCTATTTTTATATTTAAAGAAAGTTTTTTCTTGGTTATGTGAATGTTAGAAAAACATTCAATTTTGAAAACATGATGAAAATGTTATTTCTGAATGTTTTCTAAATGTCTAACACATCCATTTTTATACATTAAGAACATTTCTTCTAGGTTTTGTGAACATTAGTGAAACATTCCATTGTAACATTTTAAAAACATTTTGAGAACGTTACATCTGAATGTGCTCTCATCATTTAAATCATCCTTTTTTTATATTTAAAGAATGTTTTTTTATTCAGACATTAGAGGAACACTCCAATCTGGAAACATTCTATTGTTGTTACTGAAAAAAGTTACTGAACAAGTTCTGAGAGCGTACAAATAACATCATAAGGATGTTTCCTCAGCATTAAGAGAACACATATTAAATATGAATAATGTTATAAGAACGTTCCATAAACATTATTTTAAGAATGATTTGTCCTAACATTTATGTAACCTTTAAGAAACATTAACATTCTCTGTTAGCTGGGTAATAGTTTCACAGCGAAGCCTTACAGTATTGTGTCATTTTGTCTTTATTAGTGTAAAATAATGATAAAACTCCATCCAGTCATAGTTGTAGTGTTTTTATCTTGCTTTTTTTTTTTTTTTTGTAAGAGCCGAGGGTGTTTTCAACTTATATCTATGTTAATCGGAATGTTTCTACAAATAGTTTGGTTTAGTTTTAATGACGTGTGCAAAACAAAAAATTTAATAAGAGGCGTTTTCAGATTTATGTTTAGACATATTTATATTTTCAGCCTCTTAAAGGTGCTATTGATATTATGTCACTTTAGATTAGGAGGCACAAACTTGAATAAACGCAGATGAGAATATGTTTTCTTAATATTCATGTGTTCTTATTAATTGAATGAAGAATATGAATGTGTGTGTTCAGTACGTTTGTGTGTGTGTGTGTGTGCCTACTTAGTAAAGGTAGATGTATAACTCTCACTTAAAAATTTCATATTTAACCAACATTTCAGCAACAAGCCTTTTTCGTGGCATCTTGACAAGGCTGAAATGTTGGCAAAAAAAATAAACATATGAGTGAGTCTGCAGTTATACATCTGTCTTTACTTAGTCTTTCTCCTTCATAAGGTGTGTGTTTGCTTTAATGTTTTTTTCAAACTTCTTAACCATATTCTGGGGACAAATTTGTACCCAGAAGTGAATTAATTTGACAAAACTTCCAAAACGTCCTCACGTTGAAGTCATTTTTAAATCAAATTAATCTACAATTTATTTATTAATGTTATTATTTAGTTAAGGCAAGGCACGTTTATTTTTATAGCACATTTCATGCACAACGGTAATTCAAAGTGCTTTACATAAAAGGAATTAAAATAATCATAAAAAATTATCACAACAATAAAAACAAGGAATTTACAAACTTTGAAAATGATTTAAAAATAGATTTAAAATTAATTTAAAACAGTTAAAAATAGAAAATGATTATACATAAAATACAGTGCAATCAGTTGGGACGTCGCACAGTGCTCATTCAATAAATGCACAGCTAAACAGAAGAGTTTTGAGTCTAGATTTAAATGTGACTAATGTTTTAGCACATCTGATCTCTTCTGGAAGTTGATTTTTTTTTTTTTTTTTTTTATAAAATGACAGTCAAAGCTGAAATTAATTTTATATATTGTTTATTTTCTAGATCCTTCATCAAGAGTTGAAATGAGAAAAAATCATGCGTCACCATCCAACTCATTCTGCTGGAGCGGGAACGAGGTACGACACACACACACACACACACACAGGACACCAGACACCGATACACCGGCGGGAAACCGGAGAAACACGGAGAGAGAGAGAGGAGATCATCTGAGAGATGCTAAAGCTAAAGCTAGAAACAAAAGACACACAGACAGAGATAAACACACAGACACACACACACACGGACACTGTACACACACTGACAGACAGATGCATCTTCATCATCATCATCATCATCTCATGAATATCCATCAGTCTGTTTTTCGCGCTCAGTTCTCGATTCATTGTGTTTGATGTGAATCATGAGCATCAGTGACTCCAATCTTCATGATTCTTCTCTTATTGACCGATTCATCATTTATTCTGGACACAAAAAATGTTACATGATTTTTCATCAAAGTGTAAATAACTCTGAAACGACTTTCCTTTTCACCTCGGGTCATCCAGGTCATCTGCTGGTTAATGTTGACCAGTGGTTAATTAGATACTCAATTATAGTTATATTAAACTCACCATTCAGCTCTGATAGCCACGCCCACACTACCACCATCCAATCCCGTGCTGACGGAGGAGCTCAAGCCCCGCCCACTTCTTTGTGTTTCTGATTCACTCCGAGTGACGTCACATGAGTGTAGTACAGTAGTGTGTGTGTGTGTGTGTGTGTGTGTTCTCAGAATGCTGACTGAAGATGGACGTTCCTGAATACCTGGATCTGGATGAGATTGACTTCACTGATGATTTACCTGTGAGTTTATGACTTTATTAATCACCCAGATTGTTTGGCCGTTTCACGTTTGTATGGATCTGCATCCAGATCACAGAACAACACCGAGTCACATCAGACTCTTCATCAGCTGAACCCCTTTGGGCTAAAATATTTACTCAAAGTCCCCTTTAGATTTTTTTATATTTTAATAAATTATCTGCACATTCGCGTGTTCATGGTTCTCTGATGTCAGTTAATGGTCACGTGACATGCAAGTAAACTAAATATTTAATCTTTTTATTAAGTGTTTTAATTTGATTAGTTTTTATCTTAAAATTTATTTATTTGAATTTAATTTAATTTTTAGTAAGCATTTTTTTTTTATTAAAAAAAATATTTGAATTTTTCAGTTTAATGATTAAATTACTATTTAGTAAGTGTTTTATTCTGATTAGTTTTTATCTTAAAATTTATTTATTTGAATTTAATTTAATTTTTAGTAAGCATTTTTTTTTAATTAAAAAAAATATTTATTTGAATTTTTCAGTTTAATGATTAAATTACTATTTAGTAAGTGTTTTATTTAGTTTGCTGCTATTTTAAAATCCTTTATTTCAACTTTTCATTTTTATTTAATAAATTTTAGTAAGTATTTTGTTTTTTGTTTTATTTTAAACTTACTTAAATTTTTACATTTTTATGCTTTAATTAACCGCTCTCTGATATCAGTTAATGGTCACATGACATGCAGTTAAACAAATAAAATATTTCATATTTTTAATAAATGTTTGGATTTATTTTTACCTTAATTGATTTATTTATTTTAATTTAACATTACAATTTAAAGGATTAGTTCACTTCCAGAATAAAAATCTCCTGATAATTGACTCACCTCCGCGTCATCCAATATGTTCATGTCTTTCTTTCTTCGGTCGAAAAGAAATTAAGGTTTTTGAGGATTTTTCTCCATATAGTGGACTCAATGGGGATCAACGGGCTGAAGGCTAAAAATGCAGTTTCAGTGCAGCTTCAAAGAGCTCTACACGATCCCAGCCGAGGAATAAGAGTCTTATCTAGCGTCATTTTCTAAAAAATAAAAAGTATATACTTTTTAACCACAAAAGACATGAACATCTTGGATGACAGGTGAGTAAATGATCAGGAAATATTTGGGCTCTGTTCTGCTGCAAAAGAAGCATAATCTGCAGACCTTGAAATTAATACAGTACCTCCTATGGATTTAAAACCAATAATCTGTTCCTATGTTAATAACAAATGACTGGTTTTAATCCTGTGAAGAAATATTTTTTTTATACCGTTAACTCTTTTGAAGAGATTTTTAAAGCCAAATACAGTTTTAGTGTTTTAGCCGTACATTTTCTCACCATGAAAATAGCCACAGAAGCGTTAGACACAAACAATTTAATGTTTATTAAATGTTTTATTTTTATTTTAAAAATATTGGTTTTTTAATTTTCATGATTTTATTCATGTAAATGTTTTATTTTGTTTGTTTTTATTTTAAAATAATTATTTCAACGTCATTTCTATGAATTAATAGTCAGTTTTTTGTTTTATTTTTAGGGATGTAACGATTCACTCAACTCACGATTCGATTCGATTCACTTTTTTTGTCACATGTTTAAAATCGATTTTCAACCGGCTCGCAGTTAATCGTTACATCCCTATTTATTTTTGTTTATATGTTTTTTATTTAAAACTTATTTGTTAAAATTTTACGTTATTTGAAGTAAACTGTTTCATTTAATAATTTTTTTCAACTTTCCCCTTTTTCATGATTTCATTCTTCATTCTTCGCTTTCCATCAGCTCTCTTCTGCTCTAGTCAAACATCTTAATGTGTATGTTAAACATTAAATATGCGTTAATCGGATTGAGTTTACGTAGATCACAGTCGTTATTCCTCTGTGTTCGTTGGTCTTACGGTTAATTCAAGGTTTCGTTGAGTTGCTCAGATGTTTGCTGGAAGTCAGACTCATGAGTTTGTTGAGCTCCAGGAACAGCATGATAACACACGGTTTCCCGGGGGCTCATGGGTAATGTTTGTAGCATCGGTGTGTGACGATGATCTTTAACCCTTCGGATGTCTCCTATCTCAGTACAAGAGCATTCCCGAGCTCTGCCGGAGACACGATGCAGCGAACGACGAGAGACAAGGTACGAGTTCATGTTAATCAGAAACTGAATTGAGCTGAGTTATGACACTACTGTCTTCTGTAGAGCTGCTTTAAACGAATTTGATTTAAAAATATAATTGAATTTGTTTTATAGTTGATTAATGCTGTTATGGAAGCTGAATTGATCTGAATGATGATTCTTTGTCTCCTGTAGAGGATTTGTGTCAGATTTAATGAAGTTTGCATCAATGTTTCTGTTCTTTTCTTGTCTGCTTTGTACTATTTTAGTGTTTTTTTTTTTTAGTGTCTTTCTTTTAAACATATTTAAATTGTTTTTTTTATTTAATTTTGTGCAAATGTTTTGTTTGGATTTTTAGTTGTTGTTTTAGGTTTTAAAAAATTTATTTATTACAGCTTTTCATTTTTATGACTTAATTATTAGCTTTTCATCAACTCATGAAGCTCTTTTGGAAAACACTGCTCTAGTTAAACAGCTTGAAGTGCATATTAAATTATAAATATGCATTTATAGAATCATTGATTTTTAATTATTAATTAATTACAATTATTAATTTAAACTTAATTCAACTTAATTTCAATTTATAGAATAATTGATTCTTTTGTATTATTTATTGCTGTTAAGCTGTTTAGTAACAATCTATTTTAAGATTTAATTCCGCTTTTAATATTTGATTTAATTCATTTTTAGTGTTTTTTGTTTTTGTTTTATTGATATTTTAAAATTATTTATTTAAATGCTACTTTTTTATTTGATTTTAGTGAGAGTTTTATTTTGATGGTTTTGTTTTAAAATGATTAATTTCAACTTAATTTAACTTAATTTCAATTTATAGAATCATTGATTCTGTTGTTTTATTTATTGCTGTTAAGCTGCTTAGTAATTATATATTTATTTTAAAATTTACCTCCGCTTTTAATATTTGATTGAATTAATTTTTTGTGTTTTATTGGTATTTTAAAATTATTAAATTTTTATTTATTTATTTATTTTTTATTTTGATGGTCTGTTTTTATTTTAAAATGATTAATTTCAACTTAATTCAACTTAATTTCCGTTTATAGAATCATCGATTCTGTTGTCTTCTTATTGCTGTTAAGCTGCTTAGTAACAATCTGTTTTTATTTAAATAATTATTTTAGTGTTTTATTTATTTAAAAATATATATATATATTTTTTAAATTTTTTATTTTATTTTTTATTTTTTAGTCAGTGTTTTAGTTTGCTAGTTTGTTTTTATTTTAAAATTAAATTTTTTATTTAATTATTAGAGTAGAAACTGTGCTGTAAAAAGGCACTATAGAAGTAAACCTGACTCCTTTAGAGCAGACGTCACATTCGTATCCGTGTTTAAGATGTTCACGACGGTGTGTTTCAGCTCCGTCCATCAACTGGGCTCGCAGCGCGGCGTCCGGCGGAGCGGCAATCAAACCCACCGGCATCGCTGATGTCTACAGCAAGTTCCGTCCGGTCAAGCGCGTGTCTCCGCTCAAACACCAGCCGCAGGAGTCGGATCCGGAGACCGAGGGCCAGAGCAAGAGCAGAGGCCTGCCGCTGTTCGGAGAGCTGGAGCACTACGACCTGGACATGGACGAGATCCTGGACGTGCCGTACATCAAGTCCGAGAAGAGGAGCGCCGCGGCTAGAGCGCTAAAGCCCGACCTCAGGCAGCCCAAGCCAGCGGATCAGGACCGTCTCAGGGCTCAGAGCGCTCACGGATCAGAGCTGGACGCTCTTCTGTCCGACAAAGCCGACGGCGGCCCGAGTGCCTCCCCTCTTCAGCCGGCCACAGGCCCGAGGCAGGACAAGCCCTGGAGAACGCTTGGAGAAGCCGACGAGGAAAACAAGAAGACGCAGAACATCCTGAACATCGTGAGAGAAGGACAGATCTCTCTGCTGGTGAGAGCATCTCCGTCAGTAACTTTTTTTTTTTTTGCTGCAATATTTATAAAAATGATCATTTTCCATCCTCATTTTCAATCTCTGTGAGAAACGCTCAATTTGAGGGGGCGTGTCCTCGGGCAGAAACGCACTGTGATTGGCTGGCTTCATTACACCGTAGCCACGCCTCTTTTCCAGCATTTCGTGTGTTTTGATGCTCAAGCACTGCGATAGAAGCACTAGATAGACAGGAGACATAAATAAAACCAAATATATATATATAGGTCAAAGAAGAAAAAGGGTTTAAGCATAAAAACAAGAAGTGTAATACTGCTTTAAATTGTTGTTGTCCCCCCCTCCCCCCCAAAAAATAAAAATAATTCTGTTTAATTTAATTGCAATTTTGTTTTTGTTTTTCCGAGCAAAAAATAAATATGATACATTTTCCCCTGATTTACAGAAGAGAGCCGCTAAAAGTGCTTTCTATGGACATAAAATCACTTTTGTAAATTTCTTTTAATGTCTTTGACCCATATATATATATATATATGTATATACAGTTGTGCTCATAAGTTTGCAGAATATGCAAAATGTTACTAATTTTAACAAAATAAGAGGGATCATGAAAACGGCACGTTATTGTTTATTTAAAACTGTCCCGAATAAGCTATTTCACATAACAGATGTTTATATATTCTCCACAGCACAAGACAAAATAATAACTGAATTTATCAAAATGACCCCGTTCATCTTAATAATCTGTGTTGTTTTTTAAATATTGCATTTTCTGCATATTTGACTGTGACTGTAGGATTTTGAGATCCTTCTTTTCACATGGAGGACGATTGGGGGACTCATACACAACTATTACAAAAGATGAAAACATTTACTGATGCTCAAGAAGGCAACACAATGCATTAAGAGCATGCGTGTGCAATCTACAAATCAGCCATAATGCAGAAAAAAGTACACAGCTAGTTTCTGTTTTAGCCTGAAATACTGCATTAATTATATAAAAAAAATGAGTACAAAAATTAAATGGGTAAAATGGTTAATATTTATTGCATAAATATTAATTGGTAAAGTAAAATCTTCTCAAAATACAAAATGAAAAAGAAAAAATATTATTGAACAAAAATTTATTACACTGATTTAAAAAAAAAAAAAAGAAAAAGTTTCATATCAAAGCTTCGGCCATTTTGCAAAGGTACCAGGTGTGACCCAAAAATGAAGGGGCTCAGAGAGTTAAACTGGGAAGTTAGATTTGAGTTCTGAAACTTGCAGTGTGTTTTTATTGTAGAGTGACCTCTCATATGTGACCCTGGACCACAAAACCAGTCATAAGGGTCAATTTTTTGGTTTGTTAGGATAGGACAATATTTGGCTGAGATACAACTATTTGAAAATCTGGAATCTGAGGGTGCAAAAAAATCAAAATATTGAGAAAATCATCTTTAAAGTTGTCCAAATGAAGTTCTTAGCAATGCATATTACTAATCAAAAATTAAGTTTTGATATATTTACGGTAAATGGATAATTTTGACCCATACAATGTATTGTTGGCTATTGCTACAAATATACCCCAGCGACTTAAGACTCCAGCGTCACTAATGTGTAAATATGAAGAACATGTCGATTCTCCGTTTCATCATTGTGTCTGCAGCCTCACCTGGCGGCGGAGAACCTGGAGCGCATCCGAGACGAGGACGGGAACAACCTGCTGCATGTGTCTGCAGCTCAGGGTCACGCCGACTGCCTGCAGCACCTCACCTCGTTAATGGGCGAGGACTGTCTAAACGAGCGCAACACACAGCAGCTGACGCCCGCAGGCCTCGCCGTCAGGGTACCACACACTCACACACCGCAGATGGGAACTAGAGCTGGCTCGATGACACTTTATCAGAACCAATCTGATCACAAAAATCATCGATCCGACACCAGCGCAGTGTTTTTTTTTTAAAATCAGTGTAGAATTTCTATGTGTGTTGATCTGATAAACACTCTTTTGTGTGTTACAAACAATCTACTAAATATAGACAACTTCATTATAAAGAAAAATAACAAACGAAAAAATATAGAATCATAATCTATGACAAAACACATTCATAAAAAACAAGTAGTAGAGTATAAGTATATTTGTGTGTGTGTGTCTTGTGTGTGTGTGTGTGTGTCTGTCTTTGTGTGTGTGTGTGTGTGTGTGTGTGTGTGTGTGTGTGTGTGTGTGTGTGTGTGTGTGTGTGCACTCGTGAGCATCCCAGCCTCATCCACTACGCCGCGAGACACGGACAGGTGAGCAACATACTAGGGGTGTGTAATATATATAATCTGCGATAATATCGTAATTGTTGTTTTAACGATGTGCAATTTGACATTAACAAGTATTTTGCAAAAACCAAACAAAACACCCCTAGAAAGCACACCCCTACATTATGTGAAGTCTAGATTAGTGCGCATTTAGAGTGTTCTTTCACTGCATGTGAAAGAACATGCAGTGAAACATGCACTTTCACACACACACACACACACTCTCTCTCTCACACACACACACACACACACTCTCTCTGATATACTGCGAGGGAAAATATTGAAATAGCCTATATATTTTCCTCCCATCTTGTATTTATTCCCTTAAGGGGTTCCGTATACACGTCATTTTCTTTCCGAACACGTTATTGGGATGCGGCGGATTGCCAGGGGTATGGGGGGGGATCACGATGCCGGCTCAACATCGTGATGTCTATCAGCTCAACCCTAACTCACTCACTTACTCACTCACACACACACACACTCACACACACTCATCGATCACGTGTGTGTTACAGGAGCGGGTGCTGCTGTGGCTGCTGCAGTTCATGCAGGAACAGGCCATTTCTCTGGACGAGGCGGATCAGAACGGGAACACGGCGGTGCATGTGGCGGCTCAGTGCGGACATCTCAGCTGCGTTCAGGTCTGAGAGAGAGACAGGAAGCAGCTCTCCTCCCATTTCCTGTTGCTCTGCTGAGAGCCGCAGGGCTGTTAACACTGGCTCTCATTCACTGACCACACGACACACACATCAACCTAATCTGAGCACAAACGCTTTCAAATCAAAAGCTTTCGTGCTATAAATGTTTTAGTGTTCATGTGATTTCAGTTGTTTCTATGTTTTTTCTAAATGCAGAATAACTACACACAAATCACACACAAAATACACTGCCAAAAAGTTTGGGATCAGTAAGATTTTTAATGTTTCTGAAAGAAGTCTCTTCTGCTCATCAAAGCTGCATTTATTTGACCAGAAATACAGTAAAAATTGTGAAATATTATTATAATTTAAAACAGCTGTTTTCTATGTGAATATCTGTTAAACTAATTTATTTCTGTGATGCGCAGCTGTATTTTCAGCATCATTACTCCAATCTTCAGTGTCACATGATCTTCAGAAATCATTCTAATATGCTGATTTGCTGCTCGAGAAACATTTCTGATTATTATCAATGTTGAAAACAGTCGTGCTGCACAATATTTTTGTGAAAACTGAGATACATTTTATTTCTCAGGATTCACAGATGAATAGAAAGTTCAAAAGAACAGCATTTATTTGAAATAGAAAGCATTTTTGTAACTTTACTGTTACTTTTGATTCTTTTAATGCATCCTCAATGAATAAAAGTATTAATTTATTTCAAAAAAGACAGAAAGAAAAAAACACTAACCCCAAACTGTTGAACGGTAGTGTATATTGTTAGAAAAGATTTCTATTTTAAATAAATGCTGCTCTTTTTAACTTTTTATTCATCAAAGAATCCTGAAAAAAGTGTCACAGGTTTAAAAAAATAAATAAATAAAAAATAAGTATCACAACTGTTTCCAACATTGATAATACATCAGCATATTACAATTCATATGCAGAATTAATATCAAATTCAGTTTTGATCACAGTAATAAATTATATTTGAAAGTATAATTAAAATAGTAAATGAGACCCAGTGTTGACAACCTTTGAATACACTGATTAGACTAGTCTTAAAAAGTTAGTCATCTAATTTTTTTTTCTTCAAGACTGGTCATAACTTTTTAAATTCAGATATTGGATTGAATTTCTTTATTGTTATTGTATGAATACAACTTTCATTGTACCCACCAACAAAATTTCACATGCAAACTCACACGAAGTGCAATTAAAAATAAATAAAGTAAAAATCTAATGCATAATTAGACATAACCGACTTAATAAGCAATACTATAAAACAATGCCCCCTAAACTTAAGTCACTATTACACCTCTAAAATAGTTTGAAAAGGTATAATAGATATGAACAGGTAGATTGGTCTTATTTGTATTGGAAAAGTAAGACTGGTTGTTTCAATAAGTTTTGTATAATATTTTCTTCACTGCAAAAAATGATTCTCTTAGTGTTTTTGTCTTGTTTTCTAGTATAAATAACATTCTTGAATCAAGATGAATTTACTTGACGAGTAAAATTATTTAAGATATTCTTGTTTTCAAAAAAAAAAAAAAAAAAGTATCAACATTTTGTTAGTTTTTGCTTAAAACAAGCAAAAATATCTGCTAATGAGATAAGAAAAATAATCTTAATTAATAGCCTGCATAGTAGGGCTGTGCGATTTGGGGGAAAATATCAAATTGCGATTTTTTTTGACAGATATTGCGATTGCGATTTGATTTGCGATTTTAAATTTGCAAAGTCAAGCTTCAGCTCAATATGCCAATAATGTGCAGCACAGTATGGGTATCATTACCCTGCTGAAAAAAACAATAGAAACCATCACAGAAATTCGTATAGTTTCCATTAAACCATTACAAAATTCATTTTTGTTTTGGGCATTATTCCAATAGGAATTACTGTTGTTCTATTGGTTGCCATCTGCCAGATTACATCCCACGATCACAGCACACACTGGCCCAGCTAACCGATCACAGCACGTTTCGTATTTCAGAAGGCGGGCCTTCATTTGATACAGGAACTATTCGAGCCGTTCATGCCAGACTGGGGAGAGAGGTGTTGTAATAATGTAAAATATGTGAAAAATTTCGAACAACCTAGTATGAGAGCCTGTTTTAGTACATCCCCAAAACAAAATCAAGACTTTGTGAAAGAGCATAATAGGACCCCTTTAAAAGAAATTCCGTGTGGAGCATGCCTACTTAATACACATACATAAATATACATACTTGTATGGGCTAGATATATAAGTTAATAACCAGCAGGGCGAGCGTCCGTCCCAGAATGCCGAGCGGCAGGGTCACAGCACCTGCTCCAGGTATCTGGTGGTGGTGGAGACCTGCATGTCTCTGGCCTCGCAGGTGGTCAAACTCACCAAACAGCTGCACGAGTAAGAGCCTTCATTCAGCTGATGTCTAGAGAACATTAGATATGTGACCCTGGAGCACAAAACCAGTCATAAGGGTCACTTTTGTGAAATTGAGATGTATGCATCATCTGAAAGCTGAATAAATAGTTGCTACAAATATACCTGTGCTGCATATGACTGCTTTTGTGATGCAGGGCCACAAATTGGATGCGTGTCTAGAGGACATTAGATCTTGGATGTCTTTAACTTTTTTGTATGCTTACATTCTAGTAAAACAGAAGTTATCGTATTTGTGCCTCAGGTGAATAAGGCTAATGTAAACCATAATTTGGGATATTTGAACTCCTTCATTAAACCAACTGTGAAAAATTTGGGAGTCCCCTTAGAAACCTCCCTCAAATTTGATCAACAGATTAACACAGTAGTAAAGTCAAGTTTTTTTTTTCAGTTAAAACTTCTCTCTAGAGTTAAGTCTTGGTTATCGTTTAAAGATCTTGAGAGAGCCACGCATGCCCCGGTCTTATCGTGTTTGGACTGCTGTAATTCTTCATATGTGGTAAAGACTTTAAACTGGTTACCAGTGCGTTTGTTATTTGTTTTTAAATCCTTAAATGATCTGGCGCCCTCCTATTTGTCTGACTTAATAAAAGAAAATAAGCCAACAAGATGTCTGAGATCCACAAAAAACTACTCTTTGTCTCAGCCTAGTAAATACATGAAATACATGAATGAATGATGTGTTTCACGAACATGAGCGCTGAGTGACCTGAGCGTGTGTGTGTGTGTGTTTCTGACTTTGACAGACAAACGACGGCGCGAGTCGCTCTACAGAACCAGCTTCATCTGCTGCTGCAGACACACGAGCTCAGGTCTGACATTACAGATGCTTGCTCATATCTCTGATTAATGTCTGACAGACAGAAGGAGGGGATTTTGGCTCCACCCTTTCATTGAAGAAAATTGTGGTCAGATACACACAGAAACTCAAAGATCGTCATGACAACGCGACAAAATAAAAGTTTGGTTTAACTTGAAATTATGACAGAAATATATTAGTATTGCACAGTAGAATGTACTTAGTAACAACAAAAATGTGTATAGTAATAATAATAATACAATTTATTAAAACACACAGAAACTCAAAGGCCTTTCTAAGAAGCAGACAAAATAAAAGTTTAGTTTAAATTGAAGAAATTATCAGAAAGATAGAATGTACTTCTTAAAGTAGTAATAACAATAATAATATTTATGTTTAACCATTTTTGATCATGTTTTAATTTAAACAGTTTGCCAAAAAAAATAAACGCGTTCTTTCAAATTCATTTGATTACATTTTACAAGATTAATTAAATTGTTATGGTTTTATGCTTTTTTGTTGTTGTTTACCGCCGTTTTTGATAAGTTTATATTAAATCGTAAAACGCAGAATCCAGAAAAAACAAACCTTATAAGAATAAAACACATTTCATAGGGCACTATTATTGTTAACATATATAAATTAAAAGAAATTTAAATAAATTCAAAAGCTTTATGAATTCAGTTGATTACACATCCTTTTTGATGGAAATTTCATTAAAACGTAATCCGAAAAATTTATAAATTAAACACATTTCATAGGGCACTATTATTTTTAAAATATTAATAAATTGTTAAGAACTGTTATTAATTTAGTTGATTTGATGTCCTTTTTCGTTATTTAAATGTAATTAAACCGTTAAAATGGAATCCAAAAAAATATAAAACAAAAAACAGAATTAGGGGAGAAAAGCACATTTCTTAAAGCACCGTTATTGTTAAAATATTAATAAATTGTTAAATTGCTATTTTTATGAATTCAATTGATTAGACATTTTTTTCAAATGAAATTGAATTAAACCACAAAAAGTCCATAACAAATAACAACAGAAAACACAGAATTAGGGAAAAGTAAAGCACAACTTTTACGGCACTATTATTGTATATTAAAACGTTAAACCTTTATGAATTTAATTGATTAGACATAATTTCAGTTACTAAAATTTAATTAATTAAACCACTACAGGTCCAGAAAAATTACAACAGAAGATGCGGAATTTAGGAAAAATAAAACACATTTCATAAGGTACTATTATTGTTAAAATTTGAATAAATTATTAAATTGTTAAACTATTGTGAATTCAATTAATTAGACATAATTTCATTATTTAAAAATGAGTTAAACCACTAAAAGTCCAGAAAAATTACAATGGACAACACAGAACACTGCAAAAAATGATTTTCTTACTTAATATTGTTTGAATGTTAAATATCTAAACATTCTTGAATCAAGATGCATTTACTTGACAAATAAAATGATTTAAGATATTAAGTCTTGTTTTCTAAAATAATAATCAAAATGTAGTTAGTTTTTGTTTAAAACAAGCAAAAATATCTGCCAATGGGGCAAGAAAAATAATCTTGTTTAGCTTTTGAATTACGATTATTTTTCTTACCGCATTTTTGCTTGTTTTAAATTTTTGCATGTTTTTACAGAAAACAAGACATAATATCTTAAACAATTTTACTTGTACAGTAAATGCATCTTGATTGAAGAATGTTTAGATATTTATACTAGAACACAAGACAGAAACACTAAGCAAGAGAATAATTTTTTGCATTTTCTCTGTGCGTCTCCTCAGCTCTCATGTGGAGTCGTGGCCTGAGATGATGCTGACGGCCGAAGCGGCTCCTGATGACGGTCAGTGGACGCTGAAGCAGAGACACATGGACTCAGATGCTGTCCTGAGCAAGCTGGCGGACGGAGAGGCGGAGCCAGGGGCGGGGCCTGGAGCCGGACCAATGAGGCGGCTGGGGCCGGGCGAGAGGCGGGAACTCAAGCTGGCGCATCTCAAGCAGATCATGCAGCGTTCGCTCAGCGAATCGGACGCGGAAGAGTCCAAACCGTCCCGACCCGAGCGGCCCACGCAGCTGTCCATCGCAGAGCCCGACGAAAACAAGCACAAGTTCTCCTTAACGCACAGAACTCCCAAATCCGTGGACGTTTGCAACCCGTCTCCGTCGTCAGACCACAGCGACTCAGAAACCAAACCCGAAGAGCTTCCCGACGGCCAGAAGGTCACCACGAGTCCCAAAAGCGCCCTCAAGTCGCCGTCCTCTCGCAGGAAAACCTCGCAGAACCTCAAACTGAGAGTCACGTTTGACGAGCCGCCGCGGAAAGACGGACCAGCGCCGGACGCCAAAGTCCAACCCAGCAAACGAGCGTTTGGGACGTTTCGCTCCATAATGGAAACCCTGAGCGGAAACCAGAACAGCAACAACAACAACGCTCAGAGCGCCGCCAAACACGCCGGGAAGAAGAGCGAATCCAAGAGCAGAAGCAAGGCGAGCGCTGTTTAAAACTAACCGATCCAAATCCAGACTCTTTAGAAACCAGGTGCATCTTTTCCACACTATTTGCTGTGCACATAAGAACACGCTTTCATGTGCGTTTTGAAATTGTAACTTTGCAATACTGTGATTTTGTACAGACTCAATAATCAAAAACAAGCAGCCATACAGTGAACAAACGAGCGAACAAATCGTCTTCTTCATTAAATGATTCGGTGGATCCAACGCTGCACCTTCAGTTTCTGATTGATTTCAAAACTCTGATACGTTTTATATGTAATCTGTATTGTTTTGAGTTATTAAAGTGTGGATTTATAATTTAACTATTATGTTTGAATGCAAGAAACACTATATTATTGGAATCATTGTAACGACATTTGGCGATTGAAATAAAGACGTTTTCAACTGAGCTAATTGTCAAACGAGGAAAGAAAAACATTCAGTTAATGAATCAAGAAAATATTCGACAGCGTTTATGCAGGTCCACAAATTAAGGTCTTAAATCAGAGCAGAAAGTCTTAAATTGTGACCCTGGAGTTAAGTTAAGTGTCAATTTTTCCAAAACTTTCCATTGATGTGTGGTTTGTTAGGATAGGACAATATTTGGACGAGATACAACTATTTGAAAATCTGGAATCTGAGGGTGCAAAAAAATCTAAATATTGAGAAAATCATCTTTAAAGTTGTTCAAATGAAGTTCTTAGCAATGCATATTACTAATCAAAAATTAAGTTTTGATATATTTACGGTAGGAAATTTACAAAATATTTAATATTTAATACTTAATATCCTAATGATTTTTGGCATAAAAGAGAAATGTATAATTTTGACCCATACAATGTATTGTTGGCTATTGCTACAAATATACCCCAGCGACTTAACACTGCTTTTGTGCTCAAAGGACACATTTGATAAAGTTTTGGCATTAAATGTTGCATGCATTGCCAAAAAAATAATCTCTTTGTTTTCCAGTACAAAAATCTAAACATCATTCACTGAAAAGGCATTTACTGGAGATGCAAAATGAGGATTTGAAGTCTTGTTTTTCTGCCAGTGGGGAATGAAAACATGTTTTCGCTTTGAATTAAGTTGATTTTTAGCTCATAAACTCACTTCATTTTGATCCATTTATCAGAAAACAAGACGTCTTGCCATTTCTGCATGAAACTGAAGCCCTGTTCGACTATTCACACATGCATTAGTGCGCGTTTTACATTGATGCGTTTAGCAGATGCATTTATTCAAGAGAGGAGTGAAGCACGAGAATGAGGGATATTTGCTCCGATCTGAACGTGAGCGAGTTTGAGCCGAGTTTAGTGCTCGTGAAAGGAGAATATTTTATTCCAGGAGCCGATATGTGCTGATGAATTAGAGCTCGTTTGCAGGGCGGCAGAAGTGTGCTCGGCTCTGAAACAGCAGCTTTAATTGGAGCCGGATGAGAGAGAGACAGGCGCACAGAGAGAGAGAGAGAGAGAGAGAGAGAGAGACAGGCGCACAGAGAGAGCGAGAGAGACAGAGTTTAAGGCTGTTGTGCAGCATGAAAATGGAGCAGACGAGCGCTTGATTTGACAGGAGGAGAGTCGTCTATAGATTTTTGTGTCCATTGTTTGGGCTTATTTGTGTGCTGCTTTACTCAGTCAATCAAATATAATTGACACCGCTGGGCTGCTGTTGTTTCTGGATGACAGCGGTTAATGCCGCCGGAAAACAGCTGCGGGAAACTTTCTCTGCTGAACGATGGGGAAAGGTTTCTGCCAGAACGGTGACAATCTCGCGCATTAATTGGTGCCGTGACCCAGATGAGGGATAATAATGCAATCAACCTTTAATTGTGCCGCTTCTGTTCCTGCTCCATCAGATGTGAGCTGCAAACAGCATCGACACACTCACGTCCATTCACATGAAATTAACCCTCAAAATCTGGATAATATTTTTGCATTCTGTGTCTGTTTGGAACTAAGGATTGTTGTTTTATTAAATGGTCATAACTTTTTAAAACTAGAAACAAATCAGCAACTTCAGATTAATGAGTGAATGTGAAAACAAAATCAAAATCTTGAAAATAAAGACGCTTCCCGATGCCATAGAAGAACCTTTTTTGTCTAAATGGTTTATTATAAAGCGGAGAGTTCCGGTGCTTGATTCTGATTGGCTGAGCCTTTGGCTGAATGGCATCGCTGTGAAGAACCTTTTAAGCACCTTTATTTTTAAGATTGCACCCCTGTTTTATCAATTAAAAAATGAAGAAATTCTTTATTTCAAATTACACATAAACCACACCAAAAAACTAGGATGCAAAAAAAAAAACCATAGTTTTTTTCAATATTGACGAGAAATTTTATTTGAATATGTAATTGTATGAAATTTATAAGAACATATAATCTGAAAATTACCAGTATTAACCCCATTGGAATGAAATTTAATTGAGTTCCTTTGAATTTATGACTCATAATTGCTCAAAAACAGTCCACATTTATGAAACCTACATATTTATTTCTAAATATTACTCTGAAAAGTTTTAAAACAAAATTAATTCATTTTACTTGCATAAACTTCCACTTTCAGATGAAAAAGTGGCTGGTGGTTGCCATCTGGGATGCAAAAAAAAAAAACATAGTTTTTTTCAATATTGACGAGAAATTTGATTTGAATATGTAATTGTATGAAATTTATAAGAACATATAATCTGAAAATTACCAGTATTAACCCCATTGGAATGAAATTTAATTGAGTTCCTTTGAATTTATGACTCATAATTGCTCAAAAACAGTCCACATTTATGAAACCTACATATTTATTTCTAAATATTACTCTGAAAAGTTTTAAAACAAAATTAATTCATTTTACTTGCATAAACTTCCACTTTCAGATGAAAAAGTGGCTGGTGGTTGCCATCTGGTGGAAAGAAACAAAGAACACATAGCTAATACCATGGTTTAACACTGTAGAAGACTATATAGTGTATAGGAACAGTGTTTTCTGACAGAATTGCTTACTTTTATTAGGTTTTACATTTCATTGTCAAAGTTTAGATTTTTTTTAAATGTTAATCTGAAGTGTCAGTTTTTGCATTATTATAGTCAAACCTGAACATGGAGAAAGCATTTTGTTACCTATAATCTAAGTCAAACGTCAAAATATAATAAAAATGTAAGGAAAAATGAACAGGAATGTTTGATCAGAACTTGATTAATCTGACTCTGATCTGATTTCAACCAATTAGTTGAGTCTTCTGGTGCAATTAACCAGTAAAACAGTTTAAAACTCAAACTGTGTGTGTGTGTGTGTGCGTGTGTGTGTGCTGTCGGGCTCCGCGCAGACGGAGGGCGAGGAGGATCTGTTCGTCAGCGCGATGGAGGTGAGACAAAGCTGCGCGCTACGGTCCCCTTCACCGACCACCGCAGCGGATCGACACGCCCTTCTGCTCACACTCTCTAATCACAAATCAATATTCATAATCAGCCAAACATCAGCGGCGTATTTCCATCTGATTCTGACAGATTTCATTGAATTACGAGAGTAGAGATGCGAGCGCGCATGCGCAGCAGGGCTCTCCGCACATCAACACTGCGTCGCGTCAGCGCAGACATCATTTCACATTAGAAGCTTGTTCTGTTTACATTAGATTCACTTTCAGCAATTGATAACGCGAGGAAGCCAAAGCTAGAGTAAAACTCATGAGAATGGCTATAAACCGAATATAGCTTCTCACCAACGAAAGAAGAGTTAATTTTCAAAAACATGTTTTCATTGTGCATTCCAATTAATCTCAATCACACTGCAGTTGGGTTATTTTGATTAAGTAAAATGAACAAATATGAAATCTACAGACGCATATATATATAAAAGTGCAATAAAATAAACACTTAAATGTGTGTTTTGGATGATTTCTTTCCACTAAACAGAAAGAAGAGACGTGCTATTGAAGCAAAATAGAGCCAGCACATGCTTATGTGAAATGAACTCATATCTGCTGATGTGATGCAGATTCTGAGACCCTTCACACTATTCCCTGTGCTTCTGGTCATGAGTCTGTCCTGTGAGAGACACTGTGTGAACATTAACTTTAATGAGCTGCTGGAGTGTGTGACGAGCAGAGAGCGAGCGTCACAGTAACAACATCTACATGGCTGTATTAGTTTCTGTAGATCTACTGAAGAAAGTTGGACGCAAAGTAAAAAAGAAAACATTCCATTACAAAGCTTGTAATAATTATATATCTTATTAAAATAATTACAATTATATTATTATATAATTTAATATTATATATTATTAAAATTATAATATTATTTTGTAATATATTATTATAAGTCTTATTAGAGTAATATTGTTAGGTTTAGATTATTTACAGTTTTGGGATGTCCTGATGTGGTTTAGTTAGTCTCCTGTGGCCTGGTGTTGTTTAGTCTCTGCTGAAAGCGCTCGCTGTGTGTTTTCTCTCTCAGTCTCCAGAAGCGGCTCGTCTGTCTGCAGAAGACATCAGCCCCGGCTCTAACGGACCCAAAGCCGAGCCCATGCTGCTGGACGACGACCCCGACGACCTCTTCGCTGGTCTGTGGTTCTAGAATCGGGTTTGATTATAACGCGTTCTCAGAGTCTGTAGATGTTACAATCCGTCTCCGATCCAGTAATGAGCCATTTACATATTCAGAACGTGGAGCTTCAGGATTGGATAGTTTTGAGAATGCTCTGTTTCTATTGGCTCACAGCAGAACAGTGATGTCACATATAATGCTGTTCAGATGTTTGTGGTCAGTGCGATATATATTTTTTTTTAATGAAAGAAATTAATACTTTTATTCATCATTGATGCATTAAAGTGATCAAAGGTGACAGTAGGCATTTATAATGTTACAAAATGTTTCTCTTGCAAATAAATACTGTTCTTTTGAACTTTCTATTCATCTTTGATTCCTTAAAAAAAGATATGAAGCAGCACAACTAAATCATTTTACTTGTGCAGTAAATGCATCTTGATTCAAGAATGTTTAGATATATATTAGTGCTGTCAAACGATTAATCCCGATTAATCGCATACAAAATAAAAGTTTTTGTTTACACAATATATGTGTGTGTACTGTGTGTATATTTATTATGTATATATAAATACACACACATACAGTATATATTTTGAAAATATTTACATGTATTTACATGTTTATGTTTATATTCATAAAATGTATATTATAAATAAATATATTTAATAAATA